CTTTCACACCAATCTCTATGTTTAAGTCCTTGTGGAAGCATCAATTACCTCCAAAGATACAACATTTTTGGTGGAGGGCATTACACAATGCTCTCCCAGTAGCTTCCAGTCTTAAACAAAGGAGGATCCTTCAGGATAGTACTTGCTCTATTTGTGGTGAGAATGAGGAATCTGCTAATCATATGTTGTTTCAGTGTTGTGTTAATAAAGAAATTTGGGAGTTATCCCCAATTTTTGGGTCACCAAAGGACCCTCTGCTTACTAACAATTTGGTAAAGAATTATGCATATTTGCTTTCAACGAATCAAGAGTGCAAAGACAATGTTCTCCTTCTTCACTTTATTGGATGGAGGATATGTAAACAACATAATGAGGTAATTTTCAAAAGCAAAAGATGGCTTATACCATATGTAATAAACAAAGCCTTGCAGGATAATCAATTGTGGATGGAAGCTTTAGATGTGCATCAACAGCATCAGAATCATGAACATGTAGCAGAGTCAAACAATCAGCCATCAGAGATAACCAGGCAATCATTTAAGGTTATTCCTCGTAACTTGAATAGTATATTTGAGCGGATTCAGAATTGTTCATGTCTGGTAGATGCTTCTTGGCTTTCTCCGCATCATAATATAGACATTGGATGGAGTTTGTATAATTGTAGATTGCAGCAAATGTTAAGTGGTTCAAGATCCTTCCCACCTGCGCAATCCTCCATACAAGCTGAAATTGAAGCTTTGGGAGTGGCAGTCGTGGAATTGCATAAGCTTAGCTATCGTAATATTGTTTTATGTGGGGATTTGCAACAACTCTATGATTTATTGCAAGGTTTAGGCAAGAAAAGGAACAACAAACAAAAGCAGTATTTCTCTTTCATGATTCAATTTCAGGATATTTGTAAAATAGCAGAGCTTTGTAATTTCACCTTTCTTCACATTTCAAGAGAGGCCAATGGTCAAGTTCATCAAATGGCAAAGCAAACAAGACTAAACTCTCAAAGTTATGTTGTAAAGTGGCCAATGTACTAAGTTGAAAATGCAATAAAATTAGGGTGATTTTGGTGTATAATCAAAAAAAAATTAAAATAAAAAAGTAGGTAAAAAATGGATATGTGGCAAAATCATGACTATTGGATGTGGGAGTTTCGGTTAGTTTTTAGATTATAATTTTTTTTGGTATTATTTTTGTCAATTTTCCATAAAATTATTGGACGA